GTCTGACTCCAGAGGAGGAGATGGCGGGCAAGTTGAGACATGCGACGTGATCATAGAACGCCCTGTCTGTTGATATACGAAACAGCCGCAGTGTTGTCCGTGTGGACCAACATGTGCTTGTCCAGCAGCAGCGGCCGGAACTGCCGCAAGGCTAGATGCACTGCCAACAACTCCAGACAGTTAATGTGCCAAATCAGTCGAGGTCCTGTCCAGGACCCCGAGGCTGCCTGCCCATTGCATGTAGTGCCCCAGCCCGTATTGGAGGCATCTGTCGTGACAACGACATGCCGGGACACTTGTTCTAAGGGCACCCCGGCCAGTAGAAAAGCAAGGTCCATCCAAGGGCTGAATAGGCAGCAGCACATCGGTGTGATGGTGACACGATGCGTACCGTGGCGCCATGCCCATCTCGGGACTCGGGAGTGTAACCAGTGCTGAAGTGGTCTCATATGAAGCAATCCGAGCGGCATGACTGCGGCTGCGGATGCCATATGCCCCAGGAGCCTCTGAAAATGTTTCAGTGGTACCACTGTTCTGCCTCTGAAGGAACTCAGGCAGTTCAGCACCGACTGGGCACGTTCGTTGGTGAGACGTGCCATCATACTCACCGAGTCTAACTCCATACCGAGATAAGAGATTCTCTGCACAGGGGAGAGCTTGCTCTTGTCTCGGTTGACCTGAAGCCCCAACTGACTGAGGTGCCGAAGCACAAAGTCCCTGTGATCGCACAACTCCTCTCACGACCTGGGGATCCTGATGCCCACTTCCCATAGTGGGGCAAGGGCGCCCTCCGCGACTTTCGTGAAGACGCGGGGGGACAGGGAGTCGAAGGGGAGGACCTTGTACTGCCATGTCCGACCCTCGAACGCAAACCGTAGGAACGGTCTTGTGACGAGGTGCCCAGACATGGAAGACAACGCTCGTGGCCGTTGTCAGAGGACAGGACACGACCGCATCCAGAAGGACATGGACGAAACGGCGTCTTTAAAAAGACGCGAATCGTCCGTGATTTGCTCTTTTAGGAAATCTGCTCTTTTAGTTGAAGCGCCCAGGGGAATCGCTGAACGGGACAACGCTGTTTGCACCGTATCGCCAACCAGAACAGCTTCCCGACACACAGCAGATGAATGGCTTTGTAGAGTATAACAGCTTTTCATACAACCACTCGGCTCCGAAGCAAAAAATCTGAAGAGTGGATGCACCTGTCGCCTATTTATACCCGTATCAATGGGGAGTGGCTCAGGTATGCAAAATCCACTAGCCAATTTTCATTGGCGTTTTCTCTTAAACTCAGAGATGATTGGCCTCCCAAGTGAGACCCCATATGTTGTTCGACATAACTCAGATAGGGAACTGTATTAAAATCAGCTGAATATTTTATTTTAGCTTATTTTATTTTATTTTATTTTAGAAATATGTTAACACCAAACTGTATTAAAATCAGCTGAATGTTGAGTCACCTGCTATGTGTAAGGCACAGAATTGAATTCACAAAGAGGTTTCGGGAAAAGAGAATCTAAGTCACTGTAAGAAGAAAAGACAAATTAAAGGCAAATGATTCATTAGTAAAATATTCAATTAGAGGCACGAGATACACAGCAGCATGCAAGCCGTGAGTGGTTTTGTTTTGAGGGAGACTCTGAGCCCTTCAACAACAAAATGCCGAAACGCCTGTTTAAATTTAAAAAATAAACTCAAACAAGCTGTGCACAATCATCAAATCGAGAAAGAACATGGAAAATGGCAAAAGATACGACCATCAGCCCGAATCCCCACGTCCTACCATATTCACTCATTTCTATTAAAGCACACGGTTTAGCTATAAAAACCACTTCAGATCCAAACGCACACCAAAGCTACTCTCCAAAAACAACAACAACAACGTCCATGCAAGCTAATCACCATCGTGTTTGAGTCTAGTGGTATCGCTTATGAATTCTGACTTTGCTGGGCTCGTTCACTTCTTAGGTTACGTTAACCAAACGCGAGCCTGTCAGATCAGAGAGAGCGTGAAGACGCGGGGGGACAGGGAGTCGAAGGGGAGGACCTTGTACTGCCATGTCCGACCCTCGAACGCAAACCGTAGGAACGGTCTTGTGACGAGGAAGTATCAAGACATGAAAGAAAGCGTCCTTCAGGTCGATCGCTGCAAACCAATCCTGGGATTAAACGCATTTGATAATACGTTTCTGCGTCAGCATCTTGACCGGGAGCTTGTGAAGGGCCCGATTCAAGACTCGCAGATCCAAGATAGGTCGAAGGCCACCGCTTTTCTTGGGTAGGATGAAGTAAGGGCTGAAAAACCCCTTCCTCATCTTGGCTGGAGGACCGGCTCGATTGCATCCATCGCCAACAGGACAGCAATCTTCTCACGCAAGACAGAGGCGTCTCGGACTGCCACCGAAATCTCGAGAATGCCATAGAACTTGGGAGGTCGCCTGGCGAACTGAATCTGTTCGACATAACTCAGATAGGGAACTGTATTAAAATCAGCTGAATATTTTATTTTAGCTTATTTTATTTTATTTTATTTTAGAAATATGTTAACACCAAACTGTATTAAAATCAGCTGAATGTTGAGTCACCTGCTATGTGTAAGGCACAGAATTGAATTCACAAAGAGGTTTCGGGAAAAGAGAATCTAAGTCACTGTAAGAAGAAAAGACAAATTAAAGGCAAATGATTCATTAGTAAAATATTCAATTAGAGGCACGAGATACACAGCAGCATGCAAGCCGTGAGTGGTTTTGTTTTGAGGGAGACTCTGAGCCCTTCAACAACAAAATGCCGAAACGCCTGTTTAAATTTAAAAAATAAACTCAAACAAGCTGTGCACAATCATCAAATCGAGAAAGAACATGGAAAATGGCAAAAGATACGACCATCAGCCCGAATCCCCACGTCCTACCATATTCACTCATTTCTATTAAAGCACACGGTTTAGCTATAAAAACCACTTCAGATCCAAACGCACACCAAAGCTACTCTCCAAAAACAACAACAACAACGTCCATGCAAGCTAATCACCATCGTGTTTGAGTCTAGTGGTATCGCTTATGAATTCTGACTTTGCTGGGCTCGTTCACTTCTTAGGTTACGTTAACCAAACGCGAGCCTGTCAGATCAGAGAGAGACAGTAACATGGAGTCACGGCTGGGAAGAGGAAGAGACAGACGTAGACTTTTCAGGAGTGGCAAATAAAACGCACACAGCATCCACACAGGTAAAATGCAGACGCACACACCTCATAACCTGGCGGAAAGGGGGAGGATACAGTAATGGGGAATGATCATCCTCACTATCTCTACGACACAAAGAGAACAGCATTATGTGACACAGGAATCCATCCACAATGCACAGAAATCAACACAGAGTATTGCATAGGGGTGGGAATCTTTAGGCACTTCACGATCCGAATCCGAATCCGATTCTGGGAGTCACGATCCGATTCCAAAACGATTCTTGATCTACATTTTTTCCTAATTAATTCTTCTGCTGTGCAAATACATCTTTACAACTTTACATTTTAACCAAAATTGCAGTTTCTATGCTTTTTGTTTATAGTTGGAATCTCTGTATGAAAGTACTGCCAACTTAAAAATTAATCTTCACTGATTTCACGATTCAATTACGATTATCATTATCAACTCAATATCACGATGCGTCACATTCTCAGTTCTCAATATTACTGCACATGGCTGCATTTTCATATAAATTTTATATCAAATTTAATTTGTGCAAAATGTACTTTATTTTTTATTATATAAGCAGACTACTTTTTAAAACAATTACTTATTTAAAATAAGTGTTCTTTAAGTATCCGAAAGTTACAGACAATAGGCTAGTTATGGGGTTTTCTTTTTTCCTCAGCATTATTGCCATTTGATTATTATTGATGAGATCATAGACAGTGGCAGCTTTAACAGGCTGCATTTACACTAATGCACAGATCTATTTCGATATATCAGATGTTCTGTCCTGCTCTGAAAACATACCTGACTGTATTTACATCAATTTCATATAAAAGTATCCGGAGATGCAAGTGCATTTAACTGCAGCGAGCTTCAGGACAAACACAAAACGCACGTGAAAGTCTGTCAGTGTGCGTGTTTCATGCATCTAAAAGTACTGCATTCCAAACGGCAGAAATGAATGCATATCTAAAGTGAAACACTGAAATAACGGTGGGTGGATGCACACACTGTCAAGCAATGCGCACGTGTCTCACAGCGCATATTCTGTGCAATGAAGCCCGCCGCGTCTCTAGCGCGCACACGTGACATTTGCGGGGGGAAAAAACCAAGCTCAGAATCGATGAAGAGAGAATCGCGATGCATCGGAGAATCGATTTTTTCTCCCACCCCTAGCAACAGGTAAGAATATGATACTGTTGATCATCACTAATTTATCTTTAAAGGTGAAGCGTGTCATTTTCAAAGTTTTTGGCGCCAAAAATAACGGCATTTTCAGAATCTGGAAAAGATTCGAGCGAATCCGTGACGCTTTGAAAGCGATCACTGGGAATCAACCTATGAATTAATGAAATCTAATGACTCTAATGTGATACAAGGATGTTTAAAAATTACACACTACACCTTTAAAGCAAGGCAATGGCAAAAGACTATTAGTCTAAGATAAGATCTTTTTCTATATCATATTTTTACATAAGAGAATTTTGATAAATGAGAGAAGTCTTAAAAGATTATTTTACCCCAAAATGTAAATTTGTCTGATAATACACATCCAAGATATAGACGAGTTTGTTTCTTCATCAGATTTGGAGAAATGTAGCATTGCATCACTTGTTCACCAGTGGATCCTCTGCAGTGAATGGGTGCCGTCAGAATATCTTTATATTTATATATTTAACAATATATATATTTAAATTGTCTACATATTGCAAGATTTTCATTCAGTGAACTCTGGAGTGATGATGCTCTTAGCCCAGTATAAATAAATTAAATACAAGATGATTATAGCATACATTTACTATAAAAGTGTAGATTCACTTTTAACGTCTTGTGAAGAGAAACACTGTGTGAAAAAAAGAAAGAAAAGCTTTCGTCTTCACAAGCCATTAACTGATGGACTGGAGTGCTGTGGATTACTTGTGGATTATTGTGATGTTTTTATCAGCTGTTTGGACTCTCATTCTGACGGCACCCATTCACTACAGAGCAAGTGATGCAATGCTACATTTCTCCAAATCTGATGAACAAACAAACTCATCCTATATTCGGATGGCCTGAGGGTGAGCACATTTTCAGCAAACTTTCAATTTTGGGTGAATATTTCTTTAAAACTAATGAAAGTACAAAAGCAATATACAGTCATCAATAGTCTTGTTACACTTACCCATAAGGCCGTTGGATAAAGGTAGGGTGTATTTGAGGCACACCAAATGAAAACCCTGTGAAAAAACGCAACCTTGATGCATTTATTTATTTTTATATTTTAACAATACAAGAAAAACGCATATAATGACCAAAATTACAACGTTTTTGAATAGTAAGATTTTTTATGTTTTTTAAAGAAGTCTCTTCTGCTCACCAAGCCTGCATTTATTTGATCCAAAGTACAGCAAAAGCAGTAATATTGTGAAATATTTTTACTATTTAAAATAACTGCTTTCTATTTGAATATCTGTTAAACTGTAATGTATTTCTGTGATCAAAGCTGTATTTTCAGCATCATTACTCCAGTCTTCAGTGTCACATGATCTTCAGAAATCATAATAATATGCTGATTTGCTGCTCAAAAAACATTTATTATTATTATTATGTTGAAAACAGCGGAGTTTTGTGCTCCAGGGTCACAGATAATCCTGCTGTTCCACAGTTACGCTGCATTAGTGTTGTTACTGTGTGAAATCTCAGATTGCACCTGAAGGCTTCGGCTCATTTAGGAGCCAGCGAGGGATGCTCTCTGTCATGCAGCTCGTCTGTATTGCATGTATTTGGGTCTGCGGCGAGCGACGGATCCTCTTACCCGGCTGCATGATCCGTGGTTTGGCCCCGAGGTACGCCAGGTTGACGTTGGCTTTCCTGCCGTCTATGATGGGGTTTGGGTCCTTACAGGCTCTTTCTGCCGCAGCTCGATCGGACATCGTCACCTACACATACATGAGACCAGGAGCACAAACACTAATTCAGTGTTTTCAGTGATGCTGCATGTGAACGTGACTGCAAGTAAACTGACAGACAACAATCAGGGTTATCATAGTTAACTAAAACCATAAAAAAAAACATTTTCATTACTTGAAATAAAATAAAATATTTACATTTTTTTATTTCAGCTAGTTGACAGCAACATTTATCATTTGAATGTAGTTTAACTTGATATATATATACTACAAAAACACGACAAAATCACTAAAAATTTTACTAAAATTACAATGAAAATGGAAAATATAAAAATAAAAATGATTAATATTATTAATAAAAACTGTAATAGTATCTCAATGATACTAAAATAACACTGATAACGATAGACAGACAAACAATAATGATCAGGGTTATTATAGCTAACTAAAACTAAAACCATAATTTAAAAAACGTTTTGTTACTTGAAATGTACTTTTAAATTTTACTTGAAACATTAACTGAAATAAAATAAAAAACAATGACTAATATATGCATGTATGTATATATATTATATATATATATATATATATATATGTACTACAAAAAATTACTAAATCAGAGGAAAATCATTAAAACTCTCACTAAAATTAAAATATAAATGGAAAATATAAAAATAAAAACTCACACACACACACTAATATAGATACTTATAATAAATAAATAAATAAAGTAAATTAGATATATATAATTTATTTATTTATATGTATAAAATAAAAAAAATTAAAAAATTAAAACATAAATGGAAAATATAAAAATAAAAACTGATTCAAAATAATAAAAACTATAACAGTATCTCTGATCGATGAGTATCTTTACAAAAATAACACTGATAACGACAGACAGACACAGATAGATAGATAGATAAATAGATAGATAGCTTACAAATCCATAGCCTCTGGATTTCCCCGTTTGTCTGTCAGTAATGACAACAGCTTCCTCGATTTCTCCAAACACCTCAAAGTATTTCGCGAGGCTGGAGTCGGTGGTGTGATACGGAAGACCTCCGACGAAGATCTTGGTGTATGTGGTGTCCTTCTGAGAGCTGTGCATCCTCACGACGACTCAAACAGGGTCAAAGTTTCACCACGACTGCTTAAATCAAGAACAGCTCGTATTCCTGGAAGGCAGCAGTAACAGAGAGCGGATGATTTGATATGAGGTAGAAAGGACCGCAGCAAACGAGCGCGTCTGTCAGGCGACAAAACTCAACATGCCATATGGTTTTGGAAGCTCTCACTCACACGCGGACACAGGCCACGCCCACAGACATCCACGCCCCGCCCACTGTCCGGTTATACAGTCTATGGTCTAACCACGCCCACATTTAGAATCTCTACCTTCCCTCAATGGTTGACCTTATTGCTTACTCACTCTCACGTGACTAATGATTAATTTTATCCGTTTAAATGTCAGAATATTTTTGGTGCCTGTTGCCGGTTCATACATATATATACACTACCCCTCAAAAGTTTGGGATCAGTAAGACTTTTAATGTTTTTCAAAGAAGTCTCTTCTGCTCATCAAGGCTGCATTTATTTGATCAAAAATACAGAAAAAAACGGTAATCTTGCAAAATGTTATTACAATATAAAATAATGGTTTCTATTTTAATATACTTTAAAATATAATTTATTTCTGTGATGCAAAGCTGAATTTCCATCATCATTACTCCAGTATAAAGTGTCACATGACCTTTCAGAAATCATGCTAATATGCTGATTTATTATC